ATTTTAATGTTATTTATATTAATTATGTATGTAGCGAAATGTGTTAATACATATGTATGTATGTAAATATGTATGTAAATATCTATGTATGTAGGCAAACTTGAATATGCCGTAATTGTGAGTTGCAAAGGGTGGGGCTGTTCGCCGAATTATAGCATAAAACACATTTCTGTACATCTCTTTGTATGTATGTACATTAGGATGTCCATCTAAAATGCTTTTTTTTTTAATTTCAAGACCCTACCCTCTAATTTTATTCGTTTTTATGAGAAATATTATTGCCTAGTTCTATAGACAACAAGCCAAGATCATATTCGATCTTTGAAATCGAATCAATAATAGTCAATCAAAAACTCATAAACCTACAAAATCGTATTTTGTGACCTAAATCGATAGGTCGCGACTTCTAAAAAATCTATAAAAATAGGCAATAATATTTCTCATAAAAACGAATAAAATTAGGGGGTAGGGTCTTGAAATTTCTAAAAAAAAAAAGCATTTTCGATGGACACCCTAATGTACATACGTATGTAACAAACTCACGCACTTTAATGCACGCACACACATTCACCACGCCACTCGCTTATTCACAAATAAATAAATGTGGAGACACATAAAAATAAATTGCTGATACTGCTGCTACTTCTACTTCTGCTGTTTTTGCTGCCACCACCACCACCACCGCCACCAAGGAGTGGCGTCGTGGCGCGGTGTTGTTGTTATTGCTAGCTTTGGCCCTCATGTATGCCAATAATTTCTTTTATTTATTTATTTTATTTATTTAATTTATTAATGTTGCTTCTGCTGCGCTGCTGTTGGCATTTGCTCTACCTACATATGTAATATGTATGTATGTATGTATTTATGTATGTAGCACACAATTTCGGCGATTCTTCGGTTGTTAGGTATGTATGAGCGGAGAGTGCTGGTTGCCTTTATATTGCTTTTATTATTATTATATTTATTACTTTTCATTTTTGTTGTTGTCTATCTTATTTGCCTTGTGTATTTTTGTTGGAAAGTCCTTTGCGAATACATTTTTCGTATACTTATTTGAATGGTTGTTTGCAAGCTGGTTAACGAAATGTGTAATTTTTTCGCATGCTTGTTTTCACATACATATTTACGTATGTATGTATGTGCATACATTTTTTATGGCCGCATACTTATGTATACAATATATGTGCATATTAATATTTACTTAAGTACGGTTGAACACAATAAATTTCTTTTATTTGCGTAAGTATCGGAAGTCTGCTAATTTTTCGCCTTCTTCCTTTTTTATCTTTCCTTGTGCGGTTGCTAGCTGCCCCTTCTGTGGCGTTTAATTACTGCGTGCATTCTCAGGCGAATTGGCCGCATTTGGGATGCCAACGTTTAATTGTTTGTCTTTAATGATCGATTATTTTTTTATAATAAAAAATTTTTAATTAATGAAAGTTGATAGTTAAAAGATTAATAAATTAAATTAATTGGTTATTTTAAAAAATCGATAACTCATACATAGTTTTTTGTTTCAACATATTTTATGAAAAACTTAGATGAATAGATTATTAAAAAATCGATAAACAATTATTTTTCAGTTTAATCAAACCAAATGAATCGATAATTTGGAAAAACTCGCTATTTAATCGATAATTTGGAGTCGTTTAGAACTATTTGGTATAATCGATAACGCATGCGCAAAATTGTTCCACCACTTTTCGAACCAATTTTAGTGTCTACATATGTAAGCGGTGATCAGCATTTGGAATTAATCGTTTGTTTTTAATGATAGTGTTTTTATCAAAATCAAAAAAATTTTAATTAAAACACTCAATTGTTTAAAAAGCAGCAATCGATTATTTTTTTATTTCAATAAATTGACTTTAAAACTGAAATTAGTCAATTATTAAAAGAACGATCATCGATTATTTTCTTGACTTTAGCGAATCGAATTTAGAAGTGAATTTAGTCGATTATTTAAAAATCAACAATCGATTATTTTGTATGTTATATAACACATCTAGATTAATCGATTATTTTAAAAACCCCATTTGAGCAAAGTTTTTGGTCGTTATAAAAATGTTTGATTGTAAAATAAATTAGGCATGCGAAAAATGTTGTTGACATATTACCAACCAGTTTTAGTTTCTATGTATTTGTGGTTTCTGGTCAAGTTTTTAAGCAAATTTAAGAAAAAAGTTTGTGCACCATTCCTGGCTATCTATGTATAACCTAAAATTAAATTTTTTATTTAAATAAAAATAATAACCGCTTATTTTAAGAACACAAAAATCGATTTGTTTTTATTTAATGAAACGAATTTAATCGTTTGAAAGGACATGAAAGCAAAATAATATAAATTTGCTTTTTTATTTAAACAAAATCAAAATTAATCGTTTACCATAAAAACTTAAAAAACTACTATTTTTTATGTTTATTTAACGAAACGAATTTAGCCCGTCATTTCAAAGAGCATGAAAGCATTTTAAGCAAAATTTATTTGTTTATGTAAATACCTACAATTAAAATTAGTCGTGTAATTTAAAGAACTCAAAAAACGATTATTTTTAATTTTTATTAAATGAAATGACGTTAATCAATCATTTTAAATGGCATGAAAGCATTTTTTTTTAATTTTTGGAAATTTTTAATTAGTCGATTACATATTTTTAAAACAGCGTATTAAAAATGTTGTAACCTCGCGTAACCATTGGTTTTTAGAAAAATTTAATACAAATTTTACGTTCTACTTGCGGTTTCAAGTTAAAATTTTATGCAGATTTGGATAATTTTGATATTCGCGACTAAATTATTTCCTCTCTCACAAAAAAAAAAATGTTGTCATTTCACGAGTTCGTATGTTTATTTCTATGCGATTATTAAGCCGAAATTTCCAAACAAAAAGGGTTAAAGCAAAATTTTTTTTCTTAATTCTTTTTAAATTTTCTTTTAAAAAGTGTTTTATTATTTTTAACAAATTCCACTATAGTGCTTTACTTTTTCTGAAAGAATTTTGGACCTCGTCGTGGAAGAAATTTGCTTCGTTTTATTTTACTAACTTGGTTTTCAAAAAAATGATCGATATACTGCTTTCTTCTATGTTAATTTATTTATCAATCGAGCTTTACTCTTGTTTATAATCGAATTTATAGGCGATTAAAATTCCTGTCAAGCCAATTTATTTCCTTTGTAAGCGATTTCTGAATTTTTTGTAATCGATTTATCGATCAAAGTTATTTTTTTGTGTCATGCCAATGAAAGCTACAATTCCGACAATTTATTTATAATTGAATATTCGATTATTTGTTTAAATTTATTTGTTGTCATCCCTATTGAAGCTGCAATTTATGTATTTACTTGAACAAACAATGATTTTTAGTGCACAAAAACAACAACAATTGAAGTTAGCTCTGCCACGCCGCATAAAAGTTAGTAAAAATATTTGCACAAAGTTTTGTGTTTGGCATTCTGCTTGGGGTCCTTTTCAGTGCTATTATTATTTTTTTTTTCATTAGTAGTTTGGATTCGACTTGATTTTTAGCTTTGCCGCTGACTTTTATGTTCATTATACGCTCCCACATATGTATGTATCTCCTCAGAAGAGCCATATTAACATTTTTTTTTTTTTAATTTAAAATAAATTTGAGGCAAAATATTTTTTTCTTGCACATGAAGTGCATTCCGTCAATGCCAAATTTTTTTCTCAACAATATTTGCATTTCCATAGATTTTTGTTTCTTTCCACCTGCTTCCTATATAAATTTCTCGTTTATAAGGGAACATCTCTCCATAAAAACAAGTTTCTAGTAGTTTCCAAGAAGAAGTAGTTTCTTCGCGTAAAAATTTCTTTGCTATGCTTGGCTAGTGCACATTTTTTTCTAATCACAAAAATAATCGCATCCTTTCACGCTCTAGCTGTGAGTATGTAAATATGTATCTCCAAACGCTTAACCCTTCGAGGGTCAGTGGCTAACGTCGCTGACACAAAAACTTGTAAATATGCGTGTATATATATTTATGTATGTATGTGTCTTGTATATTTAACGCTTACTGAGCAACTTTCTTCTTACATATGTATGTACATACTTCAACAACAATTTTATCACCAGCCACTTTGAATTCTTTGTGCTTTGCGCATTCTGCTCGACTTCTTGAAGGTACACTTTCTTTTTCGTAGCCAGCGCAACATTAATACTAATTAATGTTTCTCCAACTCGTCTGCTTGTATGTATGTATGTATGTATATTATGTAACAGACCGCGTCGGAAATCCGACTTTCACATCTTAGTATCCTTTACTGCTTGGCGCCTTTTCCTTAGCAAAAAAAAAAAACAACAAAAAAACGAAGAAGCAAACTTTCGTCTTTTATTTACTTTTTTTCTGCTTCTTATGCGTCTGCTGTGTCCTTTCAACAGACGTAATACATACTACTTTATGTCTGTATTTTCACTGAGCTGCTGTTGAGTAGCTCCACTTGGTGGCTGTGTGGGTTGGCAGCGGCGTCCCCATCTTTCAACTTTTGCGTCTGCGAAGAAAGCAAAATTACGTTTGTATGTATGTTTGTATGCAGGTACGCGCGCGCTTCAACAGCAACTACAATAACCGTTATAATAATGAGGCGAGCGTGTATGAAAGTAAGGACATCCGGCTCTACGTCAAGGCTGTAGAGATGGAGATGGGATGAGTTTGGCGTTGAGGTTGAGGCTGAGGCTGTATGAAGCGAGGTGGTGGGAGGGTGGTTTGGTACAACAAGGCGTCGCGACGGTGGGTTAACACAGCGGCAAGGCGCACGTAAACACGTTTATAATATGCAGCAACAACAACAACAACAAACGCAAATATCAGCATCGAAAGCAGTAGCAGCAATACTACATATTAAAAAAAAAATTATAAAAAAACAAGGAGAAAACAATGCGCACAGCACACACAAAAAACAAAAAAAAAAAAAACAAAAGGAACCTGCGGAACGACAATGGCAACGGCAAGAACGATAACAACAACAACAACGATTGTACACATTAAGGAGCCTGGGTGGCGGAAGCAGGCGCACAACGTTGGCAAACTGAAGTGTAATAAATTAATAAATTACAAATTTGTTGCGCGCTGCAACGCGTTGCTGCTGCTGGTGGAAATGCTGTGGAAACTTTTTCACTGCTGCTGTTCACAGCTTTTTACTGCTGCGCTTGCTTTTTCTGCGCGCATTAATTTAAGTTTTATTTATACGTTTTGTTTCTTTTTTTTTTGTGCTGCACTCATTTATTTATATTTATTATATGTATGTATGTACGAGTACTACGAGCATTATGTTCTGAAAATCGATTTTCGTCATTTGCGTTGCGCATAAATAATCACTTTTTCACTCTGTTTTCTTATAGAAAGTTTGGTGTGTGTGTGTGTGGTGCAGCACAAGAAAATTGTGTGCACTCAAAAGGTTTTTTTTGCAGTTAAAGTATTTTAGTACTATTTTTTTTAATCATTATAAATTTAATATTTATATTTTCATATTTTTTGTTTTTTTTTTACTCTGCACGCTAATTTGCACTGTCAATTCTGTCACTTGCACAGTTTATTGGTTTTTAAAATTTTTATTTCTTTCTAATAACTTATTTATTTTTGTTTTCTTACACAATTAAAAATTCATATCGCTTCCGCAATTGAAAATTTTCGTCCGCATATAGCAGAAAAAATACCTAAACACTTGCAACGCGTTCGTTACTCATTCACAAATTG